TCACCTGTTGCGCCGCTTTGACTTCTTCAATTTCTCTTGACCATGATGTTGGTTTTTCTTCTTTTTCTGCACTGACTTCCGTCGATGTTTCTGCTTCGAGCGACGGCTCTATTTCTCCTTGGCTGATGTCACAATCAGTTGTGTTAATATCGTCCATTTGTTCGTTCAATGATTTAATCTCGGATGCTTTATTAGCAAATGACGTGGTGTGTAATACCCGATTTATTTCCCATTTAATAGTTTGGTCACCAAAGTTTATTTGCGCATTATATTGTTTTAGTATATTTACTCCGATAATGCCTTTTCCGTTTAAATCTGGGACTTCTAAAAAATTTCCAAATATCATTGTTTTTCCTATTTCGCATGCACAATAGATCTGCCTCGTGGTTTTGCAAATTTCCTTTCCAACCGCATTGGAGATCGTGACTCCATTAACCAGTAATATCGGAATTCTGCTGTTCCTTTCTACAATGACGTCCACAACTTCTTTAGACAGCACACTAGTTGTGGCACCAGTATCTACTAACAGCAGCACTGATTCTCCTTCAATTTCACATTGTAGATATGGACTAAGTGAGCTATTATTCGTTGGTAAAGTATTGACGAAATGTGAGATAATATAATCACTGTTGTTTTTTTCAATCGGCTCCTTTCGTTCGATATTTTCAATCTTTTCTGCATTGACTTGGTTTATCTATTGTCTTCCTCTCCAGTCGTTGTTTTTGTAACCTATCATTATAGGTTTGGTTATCTCAGTACCTTTTCTCCGATAAGCTTTTCGTCCTATTTCTGTATCTTCCTAACAATCGGCGAAGTGTTTTACTGTCTCATCCATTGCGTTAATTTCTTTTCTGTGATTTTCTTCAATATAAAGTTGATTATCTTACTATAATTTTCTTTAATAGTTTCTCTCAATATCTCTCTGTCATATAGCTGGTGTTTCCATCAATGTATTCCCGTTGTTTTAAATTATCGGAATATTCGTCTTCGTTGGACGTATAATTTTAAGGTGTAGATTTGGGGGCTACTCAATTGTATTTAAAAGCTCTTTATACAGTATATCTAACAATTAATTGTACACACAATAGACACAGGTCATACTCACAAGTCACAGTAGTTTGGCAACATTGGCCATCTACTTCGCAGCAACCTCCTCGGCGGTATGACTGGATTGTTGAGCACTCACGGCAGGGTTACATGTTCACGTTAGAAATGCCCTCCATCGGCATAACTGGACACGGAACCGGGCTAAAGTTGCAGCACCGTTCGACAGACGAAGGACTTCCGACATGTGTACCCGGACGCAACGTTACAGTCGCCCGGAGGCGATGTGAGACAGTGTCACTTCACAGCCGGCAAAACGGTAACCCTGCGAAAGGGAAACGACCTGTATTTGTGTATGTTCAGGACCTTCGGTCCGGTGTTTTTGTGCGTTTCAGTCCTTTTTCCCTCTTGTCTGCCGATCTTTTTACAGTATAGATTGTATGCAGTTTAAAATGACCGCGACGAGTGATTGATGCATTTTATGCGTTAATTTTAGGATTTGAGTGATTAGTATGCAAGTTGGCGGAGACGACAGTGGTTTTTGATGCACTGGCCGAAGCGAGCGTCATCTATCGTCGAAGCGTGGCGAAGTCGGTCAGAGTTCAAGACGTGCTGGTCTCCGTGGACGCACTTTCGTTAAACGCAATTTACAGACATCGAACATTTCCCGTTACAGTTGCCTATGAATTTCAAAAAAAATTATAAAAAATTGCAGTATTGCCAGTATTAATTAATGTCCTCTATACAGTAAGTATATATTTTGTACGAGTATAAAAAAAGAGGTTTCACACATATTTGTATGCGGTAGTCGTCGTGCGTGTAAGGTGATAATGTCCGCTTGAACTGATTTCATCGACCCGTAAAAATGGACACAGAATCTCCAAATACATAGATATTACTTGGAAGTATGGACCACGCGTATTGTTTGTTTTGCGAATATATAGCATTGAAAAATTTCGATAATACAAACAAATGTCAATATTTGTGTTTACATGTGTATACAAACAACATAATATTCTGGCCAACCGATCTTGCAGACGAGATCTGAAATTAAATACAACAGAAGCAGGGGTGATTATAATCAAGTAACACTTGAACAAAATTATACTATATTAACTTACTGTAAAATAATAACCAAACAAGAAATAATGAGAAAAAAAAGTGGGAAAGTGGGTACCGATCTTCTGTACCTACTGTACCAGGTACCTACCTACAGTAGGAGTGGAGGGGTCAATGTAATGGATGTGTTAAATTTGAATTCAATGATACATTGATTGATGCAGAAAACAATTCTCAGCGAAGATGGACTGTCAGCTTATGTATTAGTATTGCTAAGTCTAAGCGTGTAAGTATAGGTACATGTTATGATATTTTTGATATTAAATCATTTTATTTCAGTAATGGTAATACAATTTACAACATTACATTTGGGAGGGGGGTTGAACACCCACAACCCCCCTAGACATGCCTCTGGTGTGGGTAAAATATAATAACATAAGTTTAAAGTAACCACAAATGATTTTATAATTACCATAAAAAAATCATTATTTTTTGTTAAAATATTTTATGTTGTCCCAATCTGAGCTTAAAATGTCTATTGTCTTTTTTTTAGTTAAAACTTTAACCCCCTTATATTGTATTTTATTTAAAAAGTGCTCAACAGGTGGAGAATTGTGGTTTAATCTTTAATTAATGAACTAAAGATGATAGACCACAATTGTCAACCTGACATTTTATAAAAACTGTTACAGAATGTGAAGTTAACATTCAAAACAGATTTAAGCTCATATTTTTGTACCTACTCAGTATTAATCGGTTAGAAATTCATACCTATGTAATATTGAAAATTGTTATTAATTGGTTGATTTAATATAGGTTTTATAATTGTACACTGTTGGCTTAAAATTTAAATTACAAGATTGACAATTTATACAATATAATGAGATTAAAATACAGGTACATCGTACATATTAGTATATTACATAGGTAGGTATAAAATATGTTATGTGTATAAATTATATAATAACTAACTCTATAAATTATGAATAATTGACATGTGTCTAGACAAAACACAACCAGTTCTTTTAAGGCAGATTGTTCATACAAAATATGTATTTTGTCTGATTGTTCACTTAAGTCAAATACAAGTGATAGATACTCAACACATAATGAAGTTTTAACATTCTCTATTAAAATATTGGCTCCTTATATAATACAGATAATATTTTTGTTGATTTAAACTATTTCATATATTATACAAACAACCAAGTTGTCAACCTTGTAATTTGTACTTAGATTACGCAAAAATTCATAAATCAAATATTTAACTAATTATTTAAATTAAATCTTATGATAAAATCCAATTCATGATTCATTTCGTTGGATTCACTTTAATTTTTTTCAAGCTATTGTAAATAGGTACTCTACACATTATAAAATGCATTATTTAGTTTTATAAAAGATTAGATTTTTAGGTTTTTCAAGATCTGTACTAAATCAAATCTGTTCTAAATCTTAGTTTAATAAAGTACCTATCCCCAAAAGAATCTATTGAGTGAACAATTGCATAAGGAAAAAAAAAGCTAGAATAAAAGAAAAAATTCCAATTATTATTAATTGTACCATAAGTTAAATTATGTCACAGTTGATAATTGTTTTGAAAGCATGTGAAAAACACCTGTCACCAAGTATTTAGGCAATAGTTAAATCCTAAATGGTTGGCAAGAAATAATATTTTACTATTTAGGTCATAGACTCACAGCTATACAATTTTTGTTTTACATAACATATTTTGCAATGTTAAATTAAATGTTACACTCCCTGTCAAGTGTCACTAATAGGCTTCTTACTCCTAAAATGCATTTACATTTCATCCTGGCATCACATATTATACAAGAGCTAAAAAGTATGTATTATGTATGTTTTAATGTAAAATAATAATAATAAAAAAATGTAATGTATTAAAGTAGATGGCTAGATATTTAAAAACAAAAATTTAACTCTTAACATTTTGTAGTAAATACTTTAGAAATAAATGATTAAACAATTTTTATTTTTTTTATAAATGCTATAATCTCATTCTGCATGTACCAACATTATTGATATCTATTACAATCATAATTCCGATATGCATTATTTTCTTTAACATTTTTATTTTTAAATAGAAATTGTATAGGTAGTAGACATTTTATTGTGTATAAATCTAACAAACTTAAAAATAGTCAATTATTTTAAATATTTATAGTTTGACTGAGATGGAAGTAAAAATGATTTTGATGGTCATGTTTCAACATAAAAAAATATGGTGCACATAGCACATTTGCAATAATAAAAATACATCAATATTGAATAGTCGTAAATCATTATGTCATATCATAATACATTTCATCACATAAGTCAATCCATATATGAATGTATTGAATGTACTTGTATCAATATCAATAGGTACATAGTTAAAGAAAAAACAAACAATTATGTGAACCGTGAGAAATGCATATTATCTGTTTAATGTAATTAAACTGCTTAATTAATAAAATTTGTAGTTCAATTATTTTTATTTTTTTTAAATTGTGGTATGATTTTTAACTTAGTTGATACTACCTATTGAGTAACTTTGACATTAAGATATGTAACTTAGTATTTACAAACACTCAATCAATGCACGCACAAGTATAACTTTTATATTATACATTAATTATACTAAAAATGTCAGTGGCAACATAGTATAAAATAAATTATAATGTATGATAAAGTGAATGAAATTAATACTAAAATCAAAACATTTTACAGATCGAAATATATTTTAATTCCACATTTTGTACATTTTACGGATTAAAATGTTGATGTTATTAAAAAATGAATGTAAATCTAAGTAACAATAGAAATTGCATGATAAAAATAAAAAAAATAAAAAATATACTTCAGAAAATTATAATAAATAAAATGTGATAAATAACTTAATAGTAAATACTTTACTTAATCTTAAAAATAAAAAGATTAACATTCCTGCCGAAACACATTATACAGACATAATAAATAATAATAAGTGACTGCTAAATCACATTTTTAATTATTTACTGTTGTTTGTTGTTATGAAACCATTGAATTGTATTATTTTAAAGTATAAACTAACACACTCAATTTTAATATAATGAAGTAACTGATAAGGTGCCTATATCATAATTTTTACTCTGAGAAATAATTAAAGCAAATTTAAATGAGTCACAACAAGTAAACAAATTATGAGTTGAATTAAATATTATATAGATAAAAAATTAATTATTTATTGTAGTACATAGAAAAATAAATTACCTATACATTTTTAGTTTAAACGCAATAAGAAGCAACATAATTACATTTGTATTTCTATATAAAAAGAAACAGTTGATTTACCAGCTATAACATTTGTTGAACAAAATAAATATTAATTATTTAAAATTTAGCTTAACAATAATATTATATTTCCTTAAAAATATAACTTATTCGCCACGGTATGTGAACGCAGCATCGACGACGAACACAATTCCGTTGAGGATGGACAGCCAAGCCTTGGTTAAACCAGTGTTGACATAGGACGATTTCAATGTAAAACCATTGTAATAGTTGTACGACATAACTCCGGATGCAATGAAGAGAGCAGCGCCAATCAACACGAAGAACATGTCCTAAAACATAATCATCATCGTTAATAAACATTATTATTGTATAATATTATAGGTAGTAATAGGTAGTAGCAGCTTTTATCTGACACGGCTTTCTTCGGGATAAAATGTACTTCTAAGTCGTGGTAAAAACAAGTCAGATGGCGACACGGGTCTACTCCTATTCCAACGCTCATTGTTTTACCAAAAATTCGGCCGTACCATTGATTTTATAATAATATAGTACATTATTATAAAATCAATGGTCGTGTACCCACTGTACCCATATTATAGTCTATGTTTTTCTTTGAGAAATTATTTACAACATACCGAAAATGCATGTAAATTGAGTCGGTATTTTCGAAATTTAATATACCAGAGAAACTCGGGCGATTTGTTTTATGTAAAAAGAAATAATATGTATAAATTTGTAGAGCATATAAAACAAACAGATTATGTAATGTACCTACCAAATAATGAAATAACAGATGCCAAAATAATAACAAAACAAAGAATAACGGGTTATATAGATCGAATTAATTATACTTTTTTAGGTAAGTAGGTTTAATTCTGTATGCAACTTTTTAACTATCCTTTTATACTACAACTGGTTATACCTACAAGTAACGACCAATACTGCCACTATAAGTATCTAACCAGTAACCATGGGTTTTTTTCTCGCTAATGTATGAAAAAATTTTAAATTATTTAATTAGACTTACCAGTCGAGAGCTTATTGGTGTTCCCGTAAAAAGTCCAATGAAAATTCCAGCCAGAATAATCACATAACCGACGTAAGTTCCGGTAGTGATCATGATCGATGTGGTATCACCACCTGGGAAACTGTTGTAATGCAAGACGAAAATGATAATGGTTAGAGCCTGTAAAAATACGATACGATTATTATTATTTGTCATGCAATGTTTGCAATTATTCTTCTAAATCTAAATTATAAGCTAAAAATTATAAATTAAAAGGCCATGATGGGCATAAAATAATTAATTTTTAAAGCGCCGGTCATGTCCAAAAACACTGAAAATTTGATTAATATTAGTTTATTCAGCGGATGATTCTAACACTTTAACAGCAATCTTGAAACGAATTAACATGAGCGGAGTGATGAAGGAATTCTATATAAAGTATACAATTTGTATATCATAGCCTTTCGAAACAGTAAAAATGCTTTGATTTTTAACTTTAATAATTCAATAATTATTTTTATCTTTTTTTTGTAGGAAAGTGAATCTATAGTTGGTTCTTTGGGGAGTCAAAAGTAAATAATTTCAAGGAAGAATTGGGAGAAACCTAACCATGTGTTTATAATTTATATTAGAAATGTATAAATGATATAATTTTCAAAATATTATGAAACTTTTTGAGCTATTTATAGACATGTAAAATGTTCGATTTTTTTTAGTTTTTTTTTCAGTTACTATGGATTAATTTTACGATTTTCACTTTTTAATTTTGAATATAGTATTATGTAAACATAAAAAACTAATTCAATTAATGATTGAAATTCAATATCTGTAAGATTGATATTCATCCAAATTAATTGTATTAATTTTTACTTCAAAACTATGTCCAGAATTAAGAAAACGAACCAAAAGTGTGATCGTATCTTTGTGATTGTATTCATAAATATTAAAATATTTGATTTTAAGATAATATTTTTTTTTTTAAATATCATTGCTTTTATGCCATATTTCTACTATAATAGTTATAATACAAATATAATCTGTAAGACTGTAACCAATGGCAATCATTAAATAAACAAAAAAATTCACCCTGTAGGTAACAAACGAGACATGAGTCCATAAATCTATATAGATTTATGCATTTACAATATACAAACACATTTTCATAGTCTATGTCAGATAAATTATTATGTTGCAAATACCTCGAAAAAATAATGCAACTACAAAACCTGATGAACAATATACCTATATATTATGCAGTCACCTATTATATACGAAAACATTAAATATGTAGGTATATATAATATGATATATTATGATAGGTATACCTACAAGTTATTGTTTAAATTGAACACACATTTTTTTTATTTGAACACATTTAAAAAAATAGTTATAACAAAACATAAAGGGAAAACGATTTATTTCTAACATTCATTTATCCGTAATATGACTTATAAATATGATTTAAAACACTGCTGCAGTGAGGAAGAATGGGTGTTAAAATTTTTATATTGGTATCCATAAATAATACTTAACGTATTAAATTTATTTTTATGTATATTATAAAAAAATGCAAATTTATTATAATGGTTTGAAATTGTTTTGAAAACACAAAGATGTTGAACAAAAAAATTTAAATTGTTATTGTTTATTTTTTGTATTACTGCACAAGAGTATGGAGATGACGGTTTGTAAAATATAAAATGTATTAATGATAATTGATAATAATTGATCTAAGTGTCCCCCTGATACGCTCCATACTAAAGTGGAAATGTGTAGAGAAATTATTTTCATTGGGAAACGATTCCAAAATAGTCGTCGAAAGTACACTATAATATAATAATTCAGTGCATTAACTGAAGCAATGGCGATGTCTTTCTATTCCCATACATAGGCTTTTCGATAGTGATCCGGTGCAGGCACGACAAAATAAGTATTCGTGTTAACGACAAAATGTCTTAAATGCGAGTAGAATAAACCGAGAAAATAAATAGAATAGTGTCAAGGATCCATCCGCAATTCAATTTATACCACGCAGCTTTCACAAAAAAAAAAAAAATAAATATACACGTACAATATTGTGTCGGCAGCGGCAGCGGCGACGGCGATAATAATAATAATTATCATACTTCCAGCGGTACATAAGTACATAACATATTTAAAAAAACAATGTTCCGAAACGATTCAGGGTCATTGCTGCTATGTGTGTTTGAAAATTGATTCATGTAAACCTATTTTGCATTTAATTTACGAGTGTCGTAATCGAAACGATTATTATTATTACACTGGTTCACATAAACACAATATCATATCAGACAGGGCACAGTCCGGCACACGATAATTTACAAGCATTAGTCATTATTATTTACTAATATATGTATTAGGCATTACTGTATTAGGTAGGTAATCTCATATTTACATTCTTAGGATGAATCATTGCAAAGTGCCCTTGAATATAATGAAACGATTCCTCGGAGAAAATATACACATACATATTACAAATAATATTATAGTGCATTTACCCACGTTTTTTAAGTCTTTAGGCGTAATAATAGCCTATGTAAGACGTGGTCCGAATTTCAATTGTATTTATACCCTGCAATTCAACACACGGAATTCTTTCGACAGTTTATTTTTTTGAAATTTTTATTATCATTGAGGCTATCATTGGTCAGCAAGGACTTTCCGTAGGCGTTTTTCGACTAATTTGGAATACATTAAAATGTCAAAAAAAACCACCCACAGTCTATACTGTAATGTGGGGGGTCTAATTACATGAATATTGCTGGGTCGCACCATAAAGCTATTTATGTACAAAGACAATTAGTTAAATTTGTTAATAAAATACATACAATTGTAGACTAAACTACTATAAGTCCATTTTAGAATATTGTAAGCTACTGAATTAATGTAATAAATACCTACAAAAATTCCTATAAGGACCAATAAATAGAATAAAAAAACTAATTATTCAGGATTGAGAATAACCGTTAGTAGATTAAGTTTAAACTCCGGAAAACAGCTACTCGTCCCTAATTTAAATTTATATTTGCCAACGTTCTCAAAGAAAAATCTCCTGCTTAACATTTTAAGGTAAAATAAGGTGGTTCTCATTTAAAAAAAGAGTTTGCATCGACTCGGGAAATTCTTTAAATTGCAAAAAAAATCATAATTAAAGGATAAAGTTGGGCCTTAGGTATGAGCATTCTTGATGAATCACTCCGTATATTTGAGTTGTGCGTCGAGAACGCGTATCATAAATTCATAACAACATATTTTGTTGCTACATACAAATGAAAAATAGTTTTGCAAATATTTAAATAACCGGTATATTATTTCAAAACACCATATTATAATACTAAATTACTAACATTATATTATATGGTTCAACTATTATTGACTCTCAGGCAATTCCAAGTGTACGTAAATTATTCACACACTGAATTCGAAATTTGGATCAATATGTATTACAGGCTAACGACTGAATAATAATATTATAGTGATAACGTTCTCCAAATTAATGCCGATCTAAAGCCAAAAACATGGGTCACAAATGTGTGACCACTATAGTTACATTTATCTATTACTAAAACATTCATACACGTGGGTGTAGCTTCACATTTATTAAAAACATTAGTCACGAGATAATATCATCATATTTAAAATCTCAATTTCGACATTAGAAACTTTTATTGAAAATAATAATTATTAATTTAGTTATTATAATAATTATGCATAATGGCTAAACACAAAGCTATAAATTATATAGGTACCTATATAATATTGTATATTAAGTATTAATCTTTAGCAATTTTACGTTTTCACCGTTTAATGCTAATTTATACTAATAATTACAATATAATACGAATAAATAAAACGAACATTCAAGTTTAAGCAATATTTTTCTAACAAAAGTTGTCACTCTATAGTATGATAACGGACTGACCGGATAGGGCTGAACAAAACACGTAGCATTCCAGTAGGCAACTACCAAACTGCTTGATAATTTCTTTAATAACTGGTGTTAAATAAATATTTTGTATACTCGTCGATTCGACTTCCTATATAAGACCCACCAATCAATAATAATAAAGTAAATAATTAAGTCTAACCCCAACCCCGTTCAATCGCACGCCTCCTGTGAGAAGCTCCTCTAACGAATGATCATTTTTTGTGAGAGGTCATTCCCATATTCGAAACTGCAGCTCCATATTTTGCGGACTGCTGATATATAAAAAGGAACCTCCTTCATTAACCATGTTCTCCAATTTCAATCAAAATGTTCAGTTCATCAGATTTTGAAGACCAGACCCCTTTCCAAACTAAGTAAAATAGGTACACTGGAGCAGATCTTGCAGAGACGCAGCTGCTTAAAGGGACGCACATACTTTGATATGTCAGCGTTTTACTCGTAAACTGGCTAACCATTCACTATAGTTACTATATAGCAAGCTGTAGCTATATCACTGACACTAACATGGTAATTGTTACTTCATTATTATTATGGCTACTTGGTCCAGAATGAACATAATATACATTTTTCCCAATCCTGTAAACCCACCCAACGTCCTAACCGTATAAATATTTTTTCAACTTTCCTTGTATTATTATCAATATGATTATTATTGTTACTATAGAGTATAGTTGTGTCGGTATATTATAATATGTTATATTTAAATGTGTTATGTAACGTCGGCGTGTATAAGCCAAATGCGAGATTTTTCTGACTATTAGGTAAAATATTATAGTCATATCGCTCATATATTAATTTCCTTTTTGTTATGCTTCGATGCGTTCGTGCTTTCCTCCACCACCGTCCACCACAACAAAGTCCATGTACGTTAAGTCTGTTTTTTATTTTTTTATTCACATTCGACATTACCACCTCTCCGTTTCAAAACAAAAATATAAAAACCGCATAATAATATTCTGTTCCAAATGGGTCTCGGAATGTGGCGGGAGAATGCTATAATATTGTATTAAATATAACGGCTGGCTTGGACCAGCGTCAACACTGTGACGTTAAAAACTCTTTGTCCTAAGATATATTGATAAGTAAATCATACAGTTAATTTTGCAAAAATTAATAGTCATAAATTCCACGTTTAAACACAACATATTGTTCGACTATTCATAATATTTGTTCAAAATTAAAAAATATAACAAGATATAAATAAATCGAAATCGACAAATTTAAAAAATGCAATTTTTAAAAAGTGGCAGTGAACAAACTTGAGTTTGTATAATAATATTCTGCAGTAATATCGTTTAAACGAGGACACTAAACTGGCACAGAATGCTAGGAGAAATTAAACAGCATAAAAAAAATATGAACTACACCAGCTAAGAATATCAGACAATTATGGGGTCAATTCGTCAACATAATATATTATGTTATATGTGTACTGCAAAATCGTATAAAAATGAACCTCAATTCTCTGTGTAAAAGGTAATAATATATATATATATATATACATATATATTATGATGTACTTATAATAGGGTTATAACAAATGTGATGATTTGTGATAAAATATTTTAGAAAAATTTGAGAAATATTTCCAATGAATCAGGAAAGTTACTCATCCAAGTGGTAAGTAAAAGTAGGTATACGTACATAACAATAAAATGCTAATGAAACATCGTGTAAGGGTAAGTATTATTTCGAGGGCCATGATAACAGGACTTATAATCTCGTTCGCCTAGTAGGTACCTAACCTATTTAGGCCCCTCCAGTTTTAAAAATCTCAAAAATATTTAATTTGTAAGATACCTAAGCGTAGTATTCATTGTGTTGACATTTTAAATACTTGGCTTTAGACTTTTTAAAAATGAAAAAGTTTTACGTTTGATAGTAATTTATTATGTGAAAAGTCAGTTAAGATGAATTATTTAGTCATGATTGGACAGTCATTATGGACATTTAGTGCAGACTTGAATGCCTTGGGACTCTACGAAATAATATTGCTTTAATACTAATATTTTGGTATACTATCAGTCAATTGGCTTAACTTTTTATGTAACAGTCTGTGTGACACATTTTATACACGTATCACACCTTCGAAGTACAATAATTCACAATACATTTCAATATTAGTCATATGATGCTGCGTATATAAAAACTAGGCTTATTGTGGCGACAAGATAATAATAATAATATGTACCTAAGTATAAAATAAGTAATTGAAAGATTATATGCACGTTTCAGAGCATAATATATAGGTATATGTAATGTATTATTCATATCTACATAGAATAATTAAATACTAACACTCTATAATATACATAAGTCTAAAAATGTACAATAAAATCATAATTATAGCATACCACGCAATTTCCATTAAGCTACCTACTATTACAACACGCATGTCTTCTACAAGCAGCGGTGTAATTTCAATAATACATAATATCTACCAATTAACGTCACTTATATCATGCATAGTTATTACTTAATACAATACCTACTATTTTATACTGGCTACGATTGGCTGAACAAAATAGTTTTTACTCTCTTGTTCATTTCGTGTTAATACAATGTTTATAAGAACACAATATTCGTAGGTGACGGTTTATGATATCTCTAAAAGGACTCTAGAAGGACGACTCGCTATTTAGAACTTAGAATTTAGAAAGTACCAACGCGGGGTCGACGGATTTGAACAGGTTAAAACGTTTCCGAATAGGTATATTATACTAGGTATCGTAGCTACGTGTTTACAAAACATTATAAAAGAAACCATAATTTCGCTATAAAAAAATTACCATCGACCCAAACGCGTTTCAGTTATATTCAATATTATAATCATATATAGGTATACAATATATATAGATACTTGCAAGTTGACAGGTTTAAAAAGTACCTACTTTCTTCGAACAAATAATACAATTTTCGACCATTGATCACACTTACTAGTGCAGTCAGTATACATTATATATCATCACCGTGCCACCGGCACTAAATAATACCTTTGTGGCCATAAAAAAAATGTAATAACAGCACCTAATAGACAATATTAATGGAACGCGTGCATGCTATTCACACGGTGTTAAAAACGCAGCGGGCATATAATAAAAATCAATTATTTAACAAAAAATAATACTAAATCATATTTACGATATATATATGTTTAAAAAGCTGCTGCTTATTATATTACAACCTATATAAGTAGTAGGTATACAGTGAAATTCGTCAAAATATAATTTATGAACATGTGCATGTTTTATACTCACGAGCTCCAAAAATTTAATCATAGTAATTTTCGTGATTGCCATTTTGATGATTTGGAGTCTTGGTTTTTATTTTATTTTTATTCTAGGCAACTGCAAACAAAACAAAGGTTGACAAAATAATTAATATGTATATTAGATAATTAAATTAAAAATATAATAACATATTTTGGTAGATTTCAAAGTAATAAGGCCACTCAGTGTAGGCGCTTTGGCAGTGATGTGCTCAAATATGGGAGTGGTAGCCGTGACCTTCGTGCAGCACAGATTAGATCATTGTTGATAAAATTAATATTATTAATAATAATGATGAAGAAAATCGTAAATTAATTTTTGAAATGCCTAGAGCCCCAAGTATTATATTTTGTTCAATCGGAGGAGGACATTTTTGTTTTGATGATTCGAAATTACGATTAATATCTCATGAACTTGCTATTGGCATCAAAGAAAGGAAATGGATAATTATACTTTGGTTCGGCATTTGGGTCATCCTGTGTGAAGGACAACCAGGTGCGGTTGCTTCCATCCTGAGGCTATACGCCTATATACTGTGATAGATCATATTTACCATGTAGGTACCCACCGATTTGTTATTATTTTTACAACCCAACGACTGTTTTTCACGGGCATTATGTCATCGTTTTAGAGGTTATATTAAATAGTCAACTACGAGAAAAATTGCATATATAACTGGTAAGTAGGTACATAATAGGAAAAAAGACATGAATATTATTATTAAACAATTTTGTCGATAATATTAAAAAATACGTTAGTCTGAGAAAACGCTATTTGTTTTATGTACCTAATTTCCTGAACGATGTTAGATAAAACAATATAACAATGTATATCCACGTTAAATTATTCTTCGTATTTACATAATAATAGTATAATGATAAAAACCTTTAACGATCAGTTTATTTTTAAAATTTAAACTAAGAAGTATATAATTAGTCTATTAAGTACGTATTTAATTATAGCATGGAAATCATTAAATAAAAAACTGTGTAATATATTTATTTATATGTAGCAAAATTTAGGAATTTAGTTAGTATTATAGTATAATTATATTATATTATATTATAGAATAATATGTAGGTCAACTGAAATGCAGCATCTTAGCTCGGACGCATTTTTGTGTAGGCATGAAATCTTCTATAATTATTGCACAACATCCTTTTTTAGTATGTAATAAAAAATAATACCTTTAGTGTAACATTTTATTTTGAAACGAAAATAAAAATAATATAATATAATATAATATAACCTACTAAAGATTTAAGTTATTACTAAGTACAAAATAGATTTTATAATAAAAAGACATAAGAGAAAATTATAGAATTAATAGTCATTGTTTAAAAAGTGCATATATAATTCAGAATGTTTTATTACTCATTCATATCCCAATTCTAAATTTCAGCCCAATAAATGTTAATATTAATAATGGTTTTAAGAACGAATTTAGATATCCATTAAAATAATATTTTTAAAAACACTTCAACATTTAAGATGATAGAAAAAAATATTTGGTGTTCAAGTTATTTTTGTACGTGGATTGGATTTTAATTTTGAAAGTTGAAGTGAACTATAAACGTTAGAAATGAATGATGATTAATGTTTTGAGAAATGCGGAGCTTTATAAGTATTTTAAATTTAACTTTGCACTTGTAAATGTATAGTACTTGTTTATGAACCTACATTAACGCTTATGATGTGTATGTTTATTATTAGACTGATAAAATACAAACCATATTATAAATAAAGAATGTATAAGAAGAGTTACAATTAAAATTCATTTGAGTTGAAATAAAAAATATATGAGATGGAAAATCAATAAATAAATTTTTTCACATAGGTACCTGTGGATAAATATTATTTTATTATTATTATAAAATATCCCTTAGCCTGTCGCAATAACCATGAAAAAAATTATTGAAGTCGTTAATTAATATCTGATATCGATAAACATATTTTTTATTTTGTAAACAAATAAACCGGTTTCTAAAGGGTCATGGGTTCGCATAGTTTAAATCACAAAAATCCTATTGCCGCAGTAGGTTTGGATTCGTTTGACAATATCATTTACTTCGCCATACTTAATTTTATTTTGATGTATGCAAACTTTATAAAGTTATCTATACACAATCTATACATTTCTTAAAACAGCCTTCGGCGAAATGATAGTCGTATACTCGTATATGTAATAACATAATTTCAAAACGGCAGTAAAAATATTTTTTATTTAAAGTAAATATTAAATTCATTCCTACATATTTGTATACATTTTAATTTTAATGGATTAATGGCATAATTAATATACCAATTTTATTTTCAACGAAATATTGTTTAATATTAAATAACTAATAAAAAAAAGGCACGGTTTAAAAACGACTTTGGTATTATAGAGTAAAATAATATTCGGAAATTACAAAATACAAAGGTGCAGTATATAAGGCAAGAGTACATCGTACAATTCGTACATGTGTGTAAAATAGACGTATATATAGATTATAGGTACAGGTACACATGTATAAATAAGCAAACACAATAATATTATAGTCCTGGTTGCAAATTGCAATCAACGTTCCAAGTGAAACAATGTGAAGCTTATTAACTTCTGCATTGAATATAAATAGTATAAGAATACAAAAAACTAAATGAATTACTACAATTATTTAGTGCCTATTTTATCCCATCCGAAATCAGTAATCACATTATTTTATTCTATAACAGTTTAATATTCAATAATAGGGTATACTAGATAAGAAGGTACGTTTAATTAATTTTGCTTACCTACAACTTACATGATATACTATATTGATGGGAATTACTTAGTAACTAATAACATAACTAGATTACGTTAACCTATTCGAAGCTCGTACTACATTTTAATGATCGTAATACTGAAATGATTATCAGTATTTAGTACCTACATGATAAATCATCTAATTTAGTGAGGTTTTACACAGGCTCTCCAAAATATTAATACAATTTATTAATACCACAAAAGTCGAGTTACATGTTGAAATATATGTATATAATAATATATCATGAGAATATTAAAAGCTGGTTACTTTTCTAAATAATTCCACGAACATAATAAAAAAATAGATATTAATATATTAGTCATTAGAGGTAGCGGGAATAATGAAATGTATATTTTTACTATGTCTATAATTTATTTTATTTGTATCACTCAAGTTTTTTTAAAAAAAAAGCTCTGGCACACTATTTAAAATGGAGTTTATAGGTTTATATAGTAAAAATAAAAATAAATAATACGACTTAAAATGTGACCAGCTAATAACCAGCGTGTAGTTCTAAAAATACAACCAAATACTCACTATGGGCACCTATATAATATTATGATGGTGTACCGTGTTACAAATACAAGTGAAAAATTTAATTTATACCCCCAAGGGCCAAGACCCACAAGGCCACACGGCTAACCCGAAGGACTATACAATTTTTAGCACATTATAGTGTTATCCCACAATATGTGACTATCTAAATGCACACGATGACATGTTATTATATTCCGAACAGTAGCACTAACGGTGGGACATAATATAATATACAGTCGGTTTTCAATAATTATTATTTTCACGTTTACAACAACCCAAACAATGTATTTTCAAACCGAAATTCGGCAGATAAAACATGGCGAATTGGAGCGATCTTGTGCGATTTAATTCTCGAAGACGAACGCTAAACGAATTTTACCCAACCCGACCTGACGTGATGTTGTAACGATTACCAAAATAATATGTTAATATCGTATTTCGTGGGAAAAAAACAAATCGACTTACCGAAACGGCGTTGACGGCGAGAAGGTCTGCGGCAAAGTGTCGAAGCGGCGACGGTCGTCGGAGCTTATATTATGTTACTATGGTATAGTGTGGTTGCGTTATTGTTGACTGTTTTTGTTGTTGTTGTCGATGAGTGTGCGTGCGCGGCGCGTTGCCGTTTGTACGGACGACCACGTTTGAAGACGGCGTCCTTGGTGGGAGTAATGAAAAGCCGCGAGCGCCGTAGGTATTTTAAAGTCCACCGTAAAACACGACCGAAATGACCAAAACTGATTTATGTTCAAATATAATTCACGATAATCGGGCACTCCATTAGGTGACCCATGTGTATACCTGCAGTTTTTACAAGGTTATTGTCATTGGCATGCGGTTACGTGAATATTGCCGGGACACAGAGCATCGTAACTCGGGTCCCTGACCCCTGAGTCCCGAAGGGAGTGCTCGGGGCGCTTGAATGCCCAGGGCTGAAATGTAATATTGTTGGAATGGTACCGTTAAAAAATGCCATAAAAAATGTATCGATTCAAAAATACTTAAATATATACTGATTATAATTATACGAACCTATTTACTCGACGAAGCCGGGTTTACACTAACCTCCTGTCGCGTCGTTTGGCTTTTAGCGCATATTCTGATTGACCGTGGTTATCATGGTATCGTTCACTTTAAAGGAGGGTTTCCACAATACACTTTCGCTCAAGTCCTTTGCTGTGATTGGTTGGTTAGATCAGGTTACCACTCGATTAACCACGTTACCTAATTGTTGGACATAGCTGAACATCCGTCGTGTACACGGCACACGCCGATAGTGGACGCCTGCCTTTACAATGATTTACCGTGACACTTTCAGAGTTGGATCGTGCTCAACTTTTGGCTGCGATCAACGACAGACGTCATAGCCGAGAACCTGACTTATGTGTGACATTCGTAAGTTCGAATACTACTAGACAGACTATAGGGAATAATCGTCAATCGGTATAATATACAATATAATCGTACAGGAACCCCATAGACATAATGAATTATACTAGTATGCTAGAATGTAGACAGTGGCTCAGTAGTTGCGCGAAATGTTTGAGGCTTTGAAACGAAATGTATATTTGTACCACCGCCCCCTTCATTACACCAAAGTGAGTAGCAGAGGGCTAACTCTAAACTCCGCAACAACTATTAATTATAATATTTGTCTTGAAGACGTCTTGATGTCCGTAGTTCAGAATATCAGTTTTGTTATAATAATACGAATAATACGCTCTGGAGCTCTGCTAACATTCAACAAAATTGTTAAATTAGTTATTTTTTATTTTATTAACAACTATTTACTAATTTACTCATACAAAAATGTTTTGATCCTGCGTGAATCGATTGACTTACTATGTGTTGCCTAAAAAAATATCACAGTGTATATAATTCTCATTATTGAAGGTAAAATGGTGTATATTGTGCATAATATGTGTAGGTAATAAATAATAATACATAATATACCTATAGTAACCCAGATAAAGTCAAATATTCTGATAGGTTAAACTATAGAGAGTCTATATAATATATTATTATTGTATTTATTGTAATTATAATTTAAACCATTACAATTACAATAATACGAATACATCTACATCGTATATAATATAATGTTATATATTTATATATATTATACATTTCATACTAAGTATGGATATTTTTAATCTTAAAATCTAATTCAATGTTATGTACTTACAACCTACTCATATTATGTGTCGTGCTTGGTCGTTACATCTTGACGCCGAACATACGAGAACGTTCTCACTCATCGGATGTGATCAACAGTTTTTCGCTATTATTAGTTGTCGAAAACAACAGCCAATTAAGCACCTTTTATTTTATTATATGTATCTTGTATTATTAACATTTTCTTTTTAGTGTCAAAACATTAGTTACCTTGGTGGGCCGATTCGAAAAGCTTTAGGCCGCAGCCAAAGCCCAAAGCCCTAAGGTTGAAGAGAGGACTGTGGAGACCGAGATCATTATTAGTTAGTATTAACATTATAGGTATGTATTTATGCTAGAAAGTATCTAGCATAAATTGGATATTACTTAATTTAGTAGTTATTTAAGTAGATATATTATTTTTGTTACCTACTTTACCTTATTGCAATTTTTTGTTTTGCTTATATAGATCGATATAATACGTACCCCCTGAAAACGAAGCGTTGGCGTCATTTCAGTTTTTAATAGAGGGGGGTAAAAGTTTTGAACAACCCAAATAGTGAACTTAAAAAAATCGCTCACAAGCACATTTTATTATGTTCCTTTTCCTATAAAACACACACATGCACACATACGTACATACTAGCTTTCATGCACGTCCTTCGTGAGTCTAAATATAAATAAATTCCAGCTATTAATTACCAATTTATCATTGCATGACAATAATTTCTCAGTACATAACATAATATTTTCCCAAAACATAATAAAAATAGGCATGTGTTTGCGCTAATAAAATATAAAAATGGTTAAATGAAAACAACAGGACTGCTTTTAAAATTAGACAGTGGCAAATGCCCACATTGCCTCTTCCTGCCTCCAAATTACGTCACTGAACGAAGGTGAAATTAGAATTTTTCAGTTTCTCAGTTATAACTACCATGTCCATCTATTATATAAACCAGGTTTTATAATCGATGTAAGGTACATAATATGTACAGATGTAACAACATATTATTTGAAATTTGTCATTTTTACGACACTGCTAATAAAAGTTATCTTCACTTTTATCGTTTTTTTTTTTTTTTTAACAAAATTTTATTTATTACGCTATCTGTTACAATATTGAACAATAAGCTTAATTGATAATAACATAAACAAAAAAATAGACAGAAGAGACTGAATGAAGAGACCTCCCATCGGAGGTACTTCAGCATGAATATTAATTTAAATTTAAGGTATTAGTTCTAGCATAATATTAATATTAATAATAGTGATAGTGCAGTGAATACATATACATACTACATAATAGTTATAAGTAACAAAAGATCATAAGTTGTATTGATACATTTTTTTTTTTTTTTTTTTTTTTTTTTTAAATTATAAAAGTAGGTCACGACACCATTGCCTTTTTAATCTTTTGTGGGGATTTCCTGGAATAGTTGCAGATGATAGTTGGACAATAAGGGGATTGGAATGATGTGTTAGCTTGTTGTTGAATCGTTTATAGTGGAGCTTGGCTAGTTCAGTGACGGTTGGTAAATTGAAGTCAGAATGAAGGGTATCATTTGAAACATAGAAGGGAGCTTTGGAGATGACGCGAAGGACTTTGGATTGAAACCTTTGTATACGGTTTGTATTTGATACTTTGGCTGAGCCCCAAAGTTGTAAACCGTAGGACCAAATGGGCCTGAGTAGTAGTTTATACAGCAGTAATTTAGTAGGTAGTTTGATATTTTTAGAAGTTAGGAGTGGCCGGAGAAGACGAAAACGATCGTTCAACGTTCGAGTTTTATTTTTAATGTGAGCTGACCAGGTAAGTCGACGGTCAATGTTGACTCCAAGGTAGCGTACACATTGGGCAGTGGGGAGGGGTTGGTTGTTAAGGAGGAGGGTCGGGCACACTCCTTGACGAAGCGTAAAAGTACAATGGATTGATTTAGATTCATTCATTTTAACTCCCCATTCCTTGTACCAGGCTTGGAGAAGGTGAAGGTGGTCCTGAATATAGCTAGAGGCTAGATGAGGATCAGAACTAGAGGCTAAGATAGCTTTATCGTCGGCAAAGTCACCGACAAGCGTATGGAGGGAAGAGGGTTGATCAGATATATATATATTAAATAGGAGGGGAGCTGTGACTGCACCTTGAGGTACGCCTGCATTGATTAAAGTAGGAGCAGAAAAGGTGGAACCTACTCGCACTGAGAAGTGACGGTCTTCTAAATAGGATTTAAGGATTAAATAGTAGTGACTAGGAAGAAGAATCTTAAGTTTATATAAAAGACCAGCATGCCACACGCGGTCGAAGGCCTGAGAGACATCTAGAAACGCACCAGTGCAATAGAGTTTTTCTTCCAAGGCATAGGATATTTTGTCTACCAATCTGTGCACTTGATGAACGGTGGAGTGGCTATTGCGGAAGCCAAATTGAGAGTTAGGTAAAATGTTTGCAGTGTCGACAATGGGTAGAATACGTTTTAATAGCAGTTTTTCGAATAACTTTGAAAGTATTGGGAGAAGACTGATTGGTCTATAAGAAGTCGGGGAGTCCGGGGGCTTTTTGGGTTTTAATATGAGAATTATAGTAGAGTATTTCCAGAGAATAGGGAAATAAGATAATCTGAGCATTGCATTGTAGATTTGTGTTAAGAATAAGATAGATTTTTTAGGTAAATTTTTGATTACTTCTGCAGTTATTAGATCAAATCCGGGGGATTTTTTTCCTGGGAGCTTTTTAATATTAAAGTAAACTTCACCAGGGGAGAAGGCTCTAGGAGGAGGGGACATCTGTAGTGGAGAGTTGAGAAAGCTTTCAACTTCTTGGATTTTGCTGGGTGATAAAATATTATAATGCGGTTGGAAGGTATTTTCTAAATGTTTCATAAATATGTTTGATTTATCTTGGTCAGAGACCGCCCAGGTACCATCGTCGTTACGTAGAGTAGGAGGTGGATTATGAATACGTAAGAGTTTTCTAGAGGCCTTCCAAAGTGAACCATCATTATGTGAGAGTGAAGATGCGTAGTTTGCATAAGCTTCAGATTTATGACTAGCAAGGAGGCGTTTAAGTTTTAGTGCAAGGGCGTTGTAGTGACGCTTGTCGGATGGGTATCTGGAATGTTGCCAAATTGCTCGTGCACGACGTTTCAGTGATATGAGGGTCCTGATGTGTATAGGAAGATTAAATTCAGTCTTTCTTGGAGGGGGTTGGATTGCTGATTCCCAGACAGCCGATTGAATGTTATTTGTGAGTAGGTTAACAGCATCATCAATGTCGGAGGATTTTTTTAGACAAAGTTTTAGATCAGTTTTTTCAGATAAGGTGTGACCAAATTTTTCCCAGTCTGTTCGATATTGGGATAGCATCGATGAATTGAGTTTTTCGGGAGGTTGGGAATCTACTGAAAGCAAGACAGGTGAGTGGTCTGAACATGGGTCTAACAAGTTTTG